CGCCAACTTTTTAGAACAAGTAGACAGACAAAATTTCGAAGAATCTGATAAACTCAACTTTTTCTTCCACACTCGATGGCACTAGGCGCTAGAACGATTAGACTACGAACCTTTGGCACCTAGAAAGTTAAGAAAACACCTTGGCTGCAGAATAGTAGTTATTTCTAATTCGTTCTGGACGACTTTCATATGTGATAGAGCTCAGTGTTCTAAAAAGGTTTGCCATTTGGTACCCCAATTTGGGTAATAGAAATAAGCAAATAGGCAAAAAAAGGACGAAAATTTCAAAGAGTGTCTCTAATTACCCAAAAGTATTTTAATGTGAAATAGACTGAAAATTGTCTCAAGAGTCTGAAGATTCTATCGCTTACGAAAAATTATTTTGAGAAAAGTTTTTATGAATCTGTAAACTTTTAAAAGAGCTAATATTAATTGTTTATAAAGATTTTCCTTAAATAGAAACTTCATGTTGACGGTGCTTTTTTCTTCAAATCAAAGTACTGCTACTTGGAATCAGACTATCGAAATAGTCTTCATTCATAATTCGATGATAATTATGCAATGTTTCTTTTCAGGATGGTTTTTCGATTAAATTCAGTTATCCACTGGGCAACATGGTGCAGTTAATAAATAATATTCTGCTTGTTCAATTACCTGCACTACGATCTCTCGACTTGGGCATGGAATATTACGGGACAAGTTGGCCCATTACCACTTGCATAGCTCCACTTACCTATCTGTGTCTTGGTTTGCGAAGTATGGATATTTTAGTTCGTCTTATATCAACACCATCACTCTCTAACACATTACGTCAATTACACGTAAAATTATGTAATAATACCTTCAACACTCAGACTACTATATCAACGACTAACCTATCGATTCGAATGGTTAATTTACATACATTTACTCTTGTTCAAAATTTTTTCTCGGAGTTGACAATTAAATGGACAGTTTTCGAAATTCTGACATCCTCCAATGTAATGCCTATTCTTCGACGTACTAATGTGTCCATTTTTATTAATATTAATGATCTAAATCGTGTTAGTTCATCACCACTTTTTACGGATCATCGTCATGTTGATGTTAATTTTGCTTTCAATCTTATAAATTGTCCTCAATACATCAAAATGACTCAATATATCCCGCGTGGTAATCGTTTTCATCCACGAGAAATAGTCGGTGCAACATTCGTTGTTAATCATTGGTCTGACCGATCAGAATGGCTCACTGATAGCGATCCTTTTGTAAGTTAAAGACCGATTATATTTTTCCGCATTATATATCAATATAAAATATAAAGAAAAAAGAGAATTTTTGTTCTTTACCTGATGATGTAACTTTCATTTAATAATATCTGAATATACTCTTTATATTTATAGAAGCGTGGACGTCAATATGATCATCATATGTGGTATACTCTTCCTTGGGCATTTGACGAGTTCTTTCATGAATATGTTCCTTACAAATGTATCACTAAAATACAAGTGTTTGAAGCACCTTCTCAAAAAATGACGACAATTGATCAATCATCTCTTCGTACATTAGATGCATTAAGTCAAACG